TAAAGTTAGCCTCTAATCTAAAGCTATTATGAATACCTTTTTTAATTTAAAATGTTTCACTATAAAGAACATGCTTATGCTTTTTGTTATGGTTTGATGTGTGCTTTTATAGTGCAAAAGTAAATAAAACAATGCTCTACTTCAATGAAAATGATAGTAAGCTTTTGATTTTACAAACCCACATAATATCATCCATATTGTATTCTTGTCTATAATATTTGGCTTTAATCATAAAGTGTCAACCAAACAAGTCCACATTTTAGGAAATTATGGAAAGAAACTGGCCTGAAATCATTAAAAATATCAATATTATGTAGAGACAAATGAAAAAGAAAGATGGGGTATTCAAACTAAAATTTATTTAAGATCAAGGCTGAGTCTTTGACTAATTCTTAGATTGGAAAATAAAAGAACTATTTAGAATTATTGGGATAACAGATGAAACAAGATAGGAATATGTATTACATAATATTATGCTGGTGTTAAATATTCAAGAGTAGTTTGTGTATAGTGGTTTGTATAAGAATTTGTAATCTTAAGAGATAGTGAAATATTTATGAATAAATATTTTGTATCTATAACTTTCTTTAAAATGGTTTATGGGGTAGAGAAAAAGAGACAGAATATGCATATCTATCATCTATCTATCATCTATCATCTATCTATCTATCTATCTATCAATCTATCTATCTATCTATCTATCTATCTATGTGTTTGTGCAATACAGACACATGCATCTATCTATCTATATATGGAGGAGGCATATAGATTGAAAATTGTTAATAGTTTATTGATATGAAGGCACAAAATGATATAATTCTTTATTTCATATTGCTCTAAAATTTTCAAAACCAAAATTTAAGGACAGAAACATAAACTTTGTTTTTGTTTATGCTGGAGTGGCAGAGTGAATGCTTTGATGCATCTTCCACACCCTCTCAGCTGTTCTATGTCAACATCGAGGGACATAAGAAGAGAACAACCATAAAAGAGGAAACAGAAGCATCATGTAGAAAGCAGCTTATGCATGCTAATTGAATTTAAAATATCACAGGAGGAGGACCTGAGCCACACCTGATGATGCACACTGCTGCTGAGTAAGTAGCACAGCAAACAAACCACTCAGTGGAGGAAGCATCTGATCTCAGCAGAAGTGTCTCTGGCCCTCGTAGCGACACTAATAGTACCCATCTTTCTCCACCCTTTGTGGTGCCTAAATGGAAAGATCTGCGGTGTATGGCTATCAACACAATAGAAAGAGAAGTGTTCTAGGAAAAATAGAGGAATTACATATATTTATACATGATGGAAACACGGGCCACCCTCAAGTGCCTTCATCTAAATAACTCTGCAACTTGAAACCTCTGAGACATCTGTTTAGACTTGGAATTCTATCTAAAAAGTCATTCAAATGAGTGAACATAACAGACACAATCATATTTGCAAACTCTTTTTTTAAAAAAGGAATTTCTCCAATTATTTTTTTTGCTAGATGTGCTCCTAAAAGGGAGGGGGTATAAAAGTGTATTAAATGTGGGGAGGAGGGCATAAATGAGATGTAGAAATCCAAATGATAGTGAAAGCATACTATAGAATAGAGACTGTACATAGGACAGACGGAAGCCAGCCCTGGTATATCACTTTGAAAAAGGCAGCCAGAGAATACAGAATTGAGAGACTATTAAATGGTTTTAAAACACATATTTGTTTTCTTAGTAGGAGTTGATGGTTAAGTTGCTCATAAATAGAAAACAAAACTTAAATATAAAGAAAAATAATAATTTGTGGTAAAACAAAATATGCCCAAGAAAACACTCACTGGAGAGCACATCTGAGAATAATTATCTATTTATTAGAATGTCAACACAAAATAGCAACACAAACAGAAATTGTAGAACTGTACTGGGATGAGGGAGGTTCAGATCTTAGGAGGTGACAGGAAAGGTGTGCAAAGTCCGTTCCCTTGTGGAGAGTGAGAAACTCATATTTGCACGAGACTGATGGTCAGAATTAAGAGACAATATAAGCATATAATTCAGACTTACAGAGTTTAATAACAGAAAATATTTCCAAAACATTGCAAATGATTGCTCTGGAAAGTGGAAACTTGGGGCTGGGAAGGACAAGGTTCTCTGGAAGTATACTATTTTTCACTTATATTGTTATTATTACTACCTTAAAAGCTACTTGTGAGGACAATAGCCACATAGTAGTAGCCTTTACTACTATTTTGGTGGTACTGTGTTCAGCTGAACCTGAAAGTTATACAGAGTATCCAGCCAGAGTTTCATGTGGGGTCTAACATTTTACTTTTTGGACTTTGGGTGAATGGGAGAGTATGGCCCCACACCAAGCAGGAGACACAAGCTGTAACTATGGTGTGACCCTGCTCAAAGAATTGCTTAGTTTTGAGTCTTTGTGGCAAAAGCCAAAATCACTGTTTTCCATATGGCTCCAAGAGAGGCAAGCTCTTCAATTTCCCTGTCCCCAACTGTCCCCAGGAACCACATGAGGCACAAAGAAGCTCATGTGGCCCTGTGTGTATC